AGGCAGCGTGCGCCCCGTGGAGCACCCACGGGGGACGCGCCCGGACCCGCGCTGGCCTGCGGGTGCCGGGGGCAGGAGGGAGGTGAGGGCCGCAGGCGCCTGCACCGGGTTCCGCAGGTGCTGGTGTGCTGGTACCCATACTGGGATGCTGGTGCCCATACTGGGATGCTGGTACCCATACTGGGATGTGTGTGCCCATACTGGGATGCTGGTACCCATACTGGGATGCTGCTACCCATACTGGTATGCGGGTACCCATACTGGGATGCTGGTAGCCATACTGGGATGCGGGTACCCATACTGGGATGCTGGTACCAATACTGGGATGCTGGTACCCATACTGGGATGCGGGTACCCATACTGGGATGCTGGTACCCATACTGGGATGCGGGTATGCATACTGGAATGCGGGTACCCATTCTGGCATGTGGATACCCATACCGGGATGCTGGTACCCATATTGGGATGCAGGTACCCATACTGGGATGCTGGTACCCCTACTGGGATGTGGGTATGCGTACTAGGACACATGTACCCATACTGGGATGCTGATACCCATACTGGGATGCGGGTACCCCTACTGGGACGCTGGTGCCCATACTGGGATGCTGGTACCCCTACTGGTACGCTGGTGCCATACCAGGACGCAGGTAACCAGGACACGGATTCCTGTTGCAGGATGCGTGTGCTGTACTGGAGCGCAGAAACCGGTACCAGTACGCAGGTACTGTACTGGGATGCAGGTACCGTACTAGGATGTGGGTACCAGTACTGGGATGCAGATGCTGTACTGGGATGCAGGTAATGTACCAGGATGCAGGTGCCTCTACTGGAACACGTGTACCCGTACTGGGATGCAGGTAACATAAATGGAATGCAGGTTCCGATACTGGGATGCAGATACTGTACTGGGATGCAGGTACTGTACTGGGATGTGGGTGCTCGTACTGGATGCAGGTACCACACCAGGATGTGGGTACCAGTATCAGGATGCAGGTACTGTACTGGGATGTGGGTACCATATTGGGATGTGGGTACCAGTGCTGGGATGCAGGTACCATACTGGGATGCACATATCCGTTGTGGGATGCAAGGTACCCATACCAGGATGCAGGTACCATACTGGGTGCAGGTACCATACTGGGATGTGAGTACCGGTACTGGGATACAGGTAACATACTGGGATGCACGTACCCATAGTGGGATGCAGGTACCGTACTGGGATGCAGGTACCATACTGGAATGCAGCTACCATGCTGGAATGCAGGTGCCATACTGGGATGCGGGTACCAGTACTGGGATGTGGGTACCAGTACTGGGATGCAGGTACCATACTGGGATGTGGGTACCAGTGCTGGGATGCAGGTACTGTACCGGGATGCAGGTACCCTACTGGGATGTGGGTACCAGTACTGGGATTCAGGTACCATACTGGGATGCAGGTACCATACTGGGACGCAGGTACCAGTACTGGGATTCAGGTACTGTACTGGGATGTGAGTACCAGTGCTGGGATGCAGGTACCAGTACCGGGAGGTGGGTCCCAGTACTGGGAGATGCGTACCGTACTGGGATGCAGGTACTGTACCGGGATGCAGGTACCATACTGGGATGCGGGTCCCAGTACCGGGAGGTGGGTCCCGTCCCGGCTGCAAGCACCGCACCGGGCCGCAGGTGCCCCCCAGGCGCCGGTGCCCGCTGCC